CTACTAGCAAAGAGGGCAATACCAATAACAGTTTGTTTACTTTTCTAAGTATGGAAAAGCTTCTTTACTTTTATATTCACTTAAGTTCTATTTTCCTCTTTGCACATGGAAGAGCCAGCCAATTGTTTCTAAAAGCAGACAAGGGAAGAAGGACATGGAGCTTCTCACCCTTGCCAGATCCACTCGATGGGGTCACAATTGTCCAGGTAATTGAAGCGAATGATATCCGTTGGATGCTTGTCAGAGGATCGCCAGGGTGGGAGTTCTTTCTCCCCTGAGTGGTTCTTCTTTCTTAAAGAGGAAGAAGATCGGAAAGCAGGTGACGGAGACTGCTTTTCCTCTGGAGAACTGCCTGTCACTGGTTGAACATCAGCAACCACAAACGCATCTTTCGGAGGTGTCTAGAAGAAGAAAATGAATGACTATTTCTGTTTTTAACACACTGTAATTATAACAACAATTAAAAAAAAAAGAATATCATCACCATCCCCACGATAGTGGTGACAATGATTACAGCAGCCGTCAACCCAGGAGTACTTGCTATGTGCCAGGCACTGTCTTGGGAAGTTTTCATACATTATTTTATTTAACCTTCACAATAACTCTAAAAGGTAATCCTTACTTCTCCCATTTAAAGAAGAGGAAACTGAAGATAGGATTAACCAATTAATTGGCCTGCTACTACAGAAGTTTTAAGACACAGGGTCAGAATTTGAATCCAGGACTGTCTTGCTTCAAGACCATACCTTCTCTACCTGGTACTGCCACCTCCTCTAACACTTCATTGTATAGGGTTTTCACAACTGCAATTAATTTATCCATGAAAATGTATACATTCAGAAAAGTACTCCAGTCCTAATTACCTATAACCCATAAAGACAATTTCAAGTTATATAGGGGTAGTCTATAGATTTTTATCAATTATCAAAACCTCATCCGCTCCCCCCAAATACTTTTGCTTTAATTTCCTAAATTGAAAGTCTGTTTTTTTGTGTGTGAAATTCCTAAGGTTTTCATGTGGTTGTAGCCTAAGGGAAATGGTATGTTGAGAAGCCATTAAAGGCTTAATTTCTGTTCTTTAAGAGATTAGGGGAGCTTTGCTTGGTGAATTGGTTTGTTTGAATTGCTTGTGAAAATTAAGAAATTCCCCAGTGCCTTCAAGCAGAATCAGTTAGTTTCTTATCCTTGCTTCAACTACTCTTTGTATATATTTCTATTACAGGAGAGCACTTAGTACTCATTAATTTGTCTATGTCCTAGGCCACTAGACTAGGCTCCTTGTAAGCATGGTTGGGATCATTGCACTCAAGTACCCAGCACATAACACTTTAAAAATATACATATTTATTCACTTAATGAATGATTATAAACTGGTAGATTAAGAAAACATTTTATATTTATATCTCTCATAGCTCATAATTGGTTTAGTACTCAAAAGTCTGTGCAGGTCTCATTTTGAATGGGAATTCATTTCATTTCTCTGAGCTAATACTGCATGAAATTTATCTGCTTTTGCTGGAGGAGGTCTAATTTAATAGTACTGGGAATAAATAATAAGTGATAATAAAAATCAGTTTCAGGGGGAAAAGGCCAGGCATAAATGATAGTAATCACATATAAGTAAACATCATTAACTCTGAAAAATATAAAATGCTTGACACTTTAACGTAATAGGTAATAATGAAAACTGTGATGACTCTTCTGTATTAAGTAAACAAAACTTTTGTTCACCTAGACTTTTTGAGAATTTTTTAAATAGTTTTTGCTGATTTTATTGTTAAATACCTTTGCCTATACTGAAATGATCAGAAATCTTTTTTATTCTGTAAATTACATTGATTTTTTTTAATGCTTTATAAATTTGCATGCTATCCTTACACACGGGGCATACAAGTCTTCTCTGTATCATTCCAATATATGTGCTGCCATCACTGGAACAGCCTCAAAGGGGATTACACAAATTATTCAAGTGTGGTGCTGACAGTGACCTTAAAACCATAGTCAGATGACTTTATTAACATTACTCAGATGCTTTATAAACTTAGTCTTTCTGACTAAGAAATAGAATTATTAGTTGATTTTATTAACCTCTGTCTTTCTAAATTAACATTAGTCAGACGCTTTATAAACTTAGTCTTTCTGACTAAGAAATAGAATTATTAGTTGATTTTATTAACCTCTGTCTTTCTAATTTAGGTTTATTTCTTTAGCAGAAAAACTCAAGTTTAATATAACAAAGTACTCCCTACAGACATTTAGTGCTAGGCAAAGAGGTGGACATTTTCTTGCATCAGAATTAGTCATTATTTTAAATAGAGTTATACAGAAATATTCTGTAGAAAACAAAGCATTGAAGTTAGTTTTATATATAATGCTCAAAACCTCCTTTTGCCCTAACTAGTTTGGCTCAGTGGATAGAGGGTCGGCCTGCAGACTGAAGGGTCACAGGTTCGATTCTGGTCAAGGGCATGTGCCTTGGTTGCGGGCACATCCCCAGTAGGGGGTGTGCAGGAGGCAGCTGATCGATGTTTCTCTCTCATTGATGTTTCTGATTCTCTATCCCTCTCCCTTCCCCTCTGTAAAAAATCAATAAAATATATATATTTTTTAAAAAACCTCCTTTCATGCTACAAATTGGCTAGTCACTTTTCTCTCCTCTGTCCCAGAACAGCCCAAGCTTCAGCTACTGAGTGCCATTCTCTGCCTACAACGAGAATGAGAGTTGAGAAAAACCCGAGGAGAAAAGATATCATAGCTATGGTAATTTTGAAAATAACTTTTCCATCACTGCAGTTTAAAATATTTTTTTAAAAGAAATCCTCATGGAGCACACCGATTATTGAAATTAGAAAGACTAGTTTTATCATTGCAATTGTGATAATATTAATTATGCATAGTGTATTACTATATTAAATGTAAATGTAGCTTACTTCCATAAAACTAACCTAAATGAGCAATTTAGAAGTTGACTATTCATATTTCAAAAGGACTCTTGAATTTTAAAAGGATTCACTGCAGCTTTTTCATAGAATATGATACCCCTGTGGTTTTAAAAATCATTTAAAAATTTAATTTATGCACAATTTTTCAGGAATTCATACAAAATGATGCACAACTCTGCATGTGTCAGACCATGCCATAAATAAAAGGCTCATAAAAATGTCCTATAATTAACAGTGACTATAAGAATACAAACATTGGTTATAAAGCATAGAAAGCCACTAGAAAAAAAATTGTGTTATTTTACTTCCTATGATTATATGGAAATGCTTTACACTGGTATTTTCCAGCTTAAAAAGAACTTTAATAGCTCATTATACCCTTCTGCAATTACGGATTTATTGGAAAACTTTTCCTTATAAATGTTACAAAAATATACTTCAGCTCACCACGAAAAATCATACAATATTTGAATTGGTAAAATGGAATTTGCTGATCCATACATAACAAATACTGCACATTACTCACAGAATCCCAGTGTCAGAATTGTTGCAGGGTGGGGAGGTGCGGGGGAGGGGGGGTCAGGAGGGTTGGTGAGGCAGGGATAAGGAAATCCACGACCTGGACAGAGTGCGGAGCTCCACAGTCCTAACTTCCTGAGTGGAATGGTGGTTTGGGCGTCAGATGAGGGCTCTCAGTGGTCACAGGTATCTTGGCATGGGCTGTCGAGTTCTCAGAAGAGAATTTTGAAATCATGGTATTCTTCCTTTGAGCTAACTCCCTCCTCCAAGTTCAAGTGTGATCATTTAGTCTTAGCTCTAGACTTCCTAAATAACTGATGTTTGTAAGTTTGTTGCTTTTTTTGCCCCAAAATTTACCTTAGGTCTGGTAACATGAAACTTCTTCACCATTTGAATGTAGTGCTTCTTCCAGATGCCCTGCTCAAAGGGAGTTGGAGAGAAGTTGATGTACCAGTTAAACCGCAAACATTTGAGCATCCAGAGCTGATCCAGCTCAGTTAAGTTCTTCCAGTGCCAGCTCACCTGGAAAAACGACAATTGAAGAAAAAACAGGACCTACTCAGTTTACATGGTCACTTTCTCTAGGTTTTAAACTGTCACCTTGGACCCTAGATAACATTTTTTATCTTTTCCTCCAATTCACAGCTTAAATAGTCACCTCCTACCTCGAGTGCTTCCTACCCAAGCAGAACTATTTTCTTTAAATTCTAATTCAGACTTAGAATCTGAGTCAACATATACTTATCGAGCACCTATTAACTATCTTCATAGCAACTTATGGAAGTAATTAAAATTATTACTCTCATATTGCAAATGAAGAAACTGAGGCTCAGTTAGACTTTGGAATTTCATCAAGGTTCATGTGAAAGTTATATGAGAGTTATAGAAACTCAGGTCTGCACATGGTATACATCTGTTTTCCCTTCATTCTTACGATTTAACTAAATATAAATGTTATAAACAGAACACAAATACCGATACTATATGGTGTGTCCCACATGAGACTAGACATCTGTGTCTTAGCTGTTAGAACTGCAAAGATGACTACTAGCATTCAAATCCAAATTTCATCCTTGGAAAACTATCCTCTTTTTTAAGAATAACTAATTAATAATTTTGAACACCAAATAAATAAATAAACAAACAGAAGACTCTATAATGGGTCTTGCTATCCATACATCTACTTATCTATCACCTCTGCTTCCTCCCTCCTTCCAGCCACCACTTACTGAGTTCCTACTATATTTAGCACTGTTTTATGGGCTGAACATGAGTCAGGCAGGAGAGAGGAGGCACAATTAGAAAAAAATAAGAGTTCAGGGCTGGAAGAAGGAAAAAGGTTAGAGGATCTGATAGAGCCTCTCAGGCAGAAACAGAAATCATATCTACTTTGTCGAACCCAGAATGAAACACCAACCTTAATCCCTATATGGTTAATTAACTCAGAATTCAATGGAGAGATGAGGTTTTGGAGGGAGGGGATAGGGAGAAAAATTTCTGAATTGTCATTGTTTTCCTCCTTTTCCTTAGATCTTATTTAGACTTGGATATTTAAGCTAGGCTTCCCCCCCAGGGTAGATAAGGTATTTGTTTGTTTTTTAAGGTAGAGAAATGAGAATTGAAGGGTAGATAGGAGCTTTCAAAACTATAAAAGACCACCCCCACCCCATACACCTTTTGAAACAGCTCAAAGCTCATTTTAGTGCAATGAATTTATTGTTTCCTTTAAACCTAGATGAAGAATAATGATCTGTGTCTTCCTCACAGTCAGTACTGGGAATAAATATAATGCTGAAATCTTGCTAGATCGACATATGGTGCCCATAGATTATAAGAATAGCTATTTCAAATAATGTTTCCTTAGAATGATAACATTCTCATGTAGAAAACTTGGCAACTTCTGAAAAGTTTAAAGAAAAACAACATACAAAACCCCATCAATTAAAGATGGACATTATTAACAACCTGGTAGAGCTCTTTTCCTTTCAGTCTTTTTTTTTGGCATGTAAGAAACAAAATTGGGAAACTCTATATACAATTTAAAATTATGCTTTCTTCATTTTACATATCATAAATATCTCTGGTCTTCCAAATCATGTTTTCTAATAGCTGCATAATAATTTATCATATGGCTATATAATACTGTCATATTGCTGGACATTTAGAATGATATACTCTTTTTAAAAACTGTTTCATTTTTAGAATAAGTAATAAGTGTACATTAACACTAAATTCAAAGGTACAAAGAGGCACACAGTAAAAAGGAAGTCTCTCTCTCATCCCTGTTTTCTAGTCCCTCATTTTCCTCCCTGGATGTAACCACTGTGACCAGTTTCTCGTGGGTCATTTCAGAAGTATTCTAGGTCTATATTAACAAACATGTATGTATTCTTTTATCTTTCCAAAATGGTAGGACAATTCTGCACCTTTGCATTTTTCACTGATGATATATTTTGGAGATTGTTGCAATTTATCTAACTAGTCTCCTAATGGTGGACATTTCCAATATTTCTAAACTTTTGCTATTGCAAACAATGCTGCAATATTCTTACACAGATGTAATTTTGCATAGGTTGGTATACCCATCAGATAAATTCCAAGTTAAACTGCTGGGTCAAAGGGAATCATTATTAAAAATTGTAATTGCTCCCAAATTGTTCTCCACGGTGGTTGTAACAATTTATCTATCAACAATATACGAAAGTGCTTTTGTTTCTTCACACCCTCACCAATATAGAATATTATTTTAAAAGCTTATCAATCTGTATCATGAAAAATAGCATGACATAGTGAGACTAAGCAGCTTACATATTTTAGAAACACCTGCATTTCTTTCTGTGAACTACTTGTTCATTCATTCCCTTTGCTCATTTTTCTGCTGGGCTGTTGGTTTATTTTTCTCTTTTTTAAAAATATAATTTTAGGAGAAACCAAGATGGCGGCATAGGTTAACGCCGGAGTTTGCTGCCTCGAACAACCACTTCAAAAGTGAAACTAAAAGATGGAACGGACATCACCCAGAACCACAGGAAGGCTGGCTGAGTGGAAGTCCTACAACTAGGAGGAAAGAGAAACGCATACCGACACTCAGAGGAGGCGCAGTGCTGAAGGCAAAGACTGAGGTGCGGAGTGCATGCAGAGCGGGCTGGTGGCTGAGGGCGCGGTTGGCGTTTTCAATCGGGAGGGAGTCGCAGACTCTGAGCTCCAGATCTGGGCGAGTCTCTAGGGACCCAGACTCAAACGGGAGAAGCAGGACTGTCTGGCTTCGGTCGGAACTCAAAGGCAGCTTTCGCTCCGAGGTTTGCAGAGGTTGCTGGGACTCTGTGAGGCAGAGCCCCTGGGGACTGAACTGAGAGCAGCCATAACTGCTCCCTCCGCCGCCCTGTAGATCCCCGGGGACCTGCCCCGCCCAAACCCTGCACTGAGGCATTTGCCCAATAGCCTCAGGCAAATGCTAGTTTA